TGCATGCAGAAAATGAACATTGAATTGAAAAAACACCAGGACACCGGATACCCTGCTTGTTAAACCAGGGTTTCCATTCCATACCCGAAAAAATTATTTCGGTAACCTCTTGTGCAGCCTCGGAGTTGGGTTTGGGTTAAAAGCAGTTGGCTTGTCAAGAAACGGAATCGGGAATCCGTGCGGGCTCTTCTATCAACTGGTTTGGGCCGTGTGACATGGCAAATGCTTCAGCAATCCTTCCAGCATGGGTTGTTTCGTTCGAGAACTTCACTCTGAGTTATGAACATCAAAATCTCCCAAAAATATAATCTCGGAGTTCGGATGGGTCTCCTGGATAGAATTGAATGAATTTGCCAGATTTTTAAATACAGTTCATAACTAGTCATTGGGTGGAAGATACATGCAGCAAACAAAGTTATCCCATGTTTGTAGGAGTAATTTTCAGCCAAATTAAATCGTGATCAGGTGATTCGAGATTATCCTCTCTGTGGCAAGATATCTCACTGCGACAAAAGACGCAAAGTCTCCCCACAAAGCGAAATCGCGTATGAAGTTCATAGGAGATGGATTGGGTTGACAGAAGATTTTACTTGCGTGTTCGTTAAGACCAAGACCAACATATTATCTAGATTTTTGTGATCAAGATGTTGCTGCACTGCACAATATTAGAGACTTCAACTATTAAACTTTATGTAGACTCCTCTCGTACACCTTCCTCCCGGAGATCCGAATGGGAAAGTATATTTTAACTCCCGAATTCTTTGCAGGAAGGATGTCCATCATCATTTGTAATCCAAGTCAGTGTGGGGTGATACTGCCTCGGTCGAAGAAAAGCTCTTCTTCTCCCATTCCAAGTGACGGATGATAAAAGAATATGGTCAGGGTTGACCGAATAGGAAAGGTAGGAGAAAAAGAGGGGTAACTCGGGGTTGCTAGGCCCTTATTCACTAGATGTTAACCCCAGAGTGAAAAGCATTGAAGGCTTTGGCAATACTAACTTTGGGCAGAGCAAAGCGTATTTTGTTGAAGACCCTAAGATCCAAGTCTTGACCCAGAAGATTATCTCTAGTGTATTGTATCATTTTCCAGTCACGCCAGCCGTATGAAAGGTAGTTTTATGCTAAATCTCAATTTGCGACAGGATTTCACTATCCTTACGATCGTCTGACTACCAGTCCAATAAAAAAGCAAAAGGCAGCATAATTCCAGGGTCAGGTTCAGACATTTTTAACAATTAAGGCTCCTTAAAGTGCTTAAAGCACGCGGCCGCACGGCTTCTCATATCGGGCTGTACGGATCCTCAAAACAGGCGATACGACTCCTCAAAACGAGCCGTACGCCTTTTTAAAGGAGGCCGCACGGCTTCTCATAAATCGGGCTTTACGGCTAGTCGACTCAGGCCGTACGGCTGATCAAATTGGGTCGTACCGCCGAAATGCTGAGATTAGGCCGTACGGCTCCTTAAATCGGGCCTTTCACGGCTTCTCAGATCGAACCGTATAAGCCTCCCTAAGTCGGCCATAAAGCTTCTTAGGCTGGCCGTCCATTGGATGCGTAGTCGTACGACTTTGCGATCGTACGTACTCGTCCGTATACGTCCGTCTTATCCCCTTACATAAAAATAAAAAGAACGCTCATCCACTGCACACGAATCCGGTCGCACGACTTGATCCGATTTCATGCCACCAACGATGGTCTCATTTGAATGGGATTTGTCGGACGTTTTCAAACGACTTTCGGTCAGTATTGGCAATTTAGCCAGTACAGGTTTTTATTTCTTTACATATTGTGGAAAATTATGGATTGTGAGAAGCTAATTAGCGAGGTGAGAGAAAGGAAAGCATTATGATCGGATATGAGAGACAGCAGATATCATGCTAGAGACGTCCAACGCAAATTTTTCTCTGGCGTCCAAAGCAGAACGAGTTTTCCAAAAGATATATATGTATCTTCAAAGTTCATTTTAATCATTTAATCACTAAACACTACCAACAGAAAGGCTACACGTGAACATACGCTACGAAATAAATAAATGAACTATACCGGGTGCCCACGAGATCACTTTCCGGCTGCCATTTTTTTATTTGTTTATCGATATCAACGAAACTTGGTAGGGTTGATATTCTAACCAAATGCATTTATGACAAGTTTTCCTGACTTCCGGTTTTATCGGAAATGACCGGAACTTTGGATTTTTAAATGGCACACCGTGTATATTTTTTGTTTTTCGGATTCTGCAGATCGTTTTACGTCCTAATGCACTACTTTTGAATCGAGTTTTGTCCAAATTTTATTTTTAAATTTAATTTTAATTTTTTAACTAGAGTGCCATGATCATCCTAAAATGACTCTACATACTTTACTTAATTTCAGAAAAATACAAACTCAATTTTATCTTTGTAAATTTTTTTGACAAAGGGCTGTAAACTTCATTATTTCAGTATTTTCGCCCTAGCTCAAAAACTAGAATAGAAACGTATAACTTTCATAATATCACTTAATGCAGTATTTTGAAGCGAATGCAACGATATAATATACTATACGACATTTTTCTTAATTTTCGTGCAAATATTTTTGTTTCATTATGTAGGTTTTTTTTTCTGGCTTAAAATTTAATTTCAAAACGAAATTTGGATAAAACCTGATTTAACAGTGGTACATTAGGACGTAAAACGATTTGTAGAATCCAAAAAACAAAAAATATACAGGGTGTGCCATTTGAAAATCAAAAGTTTCGGTAATTTCCGGTGAAACGGGAAGTCAGGAAAACTTGTCGCGGATGCACAAAAATGGCGTTTCGTTAGAATATCAAACCTACCAAGTTTAGTTGACATCGATGAACAAATAAAAAAATGGCAGCCGGAAAGTAATCTCGTGGTCACCCGGTATATTTCAATTATCAATCAGAAATCGTTTCTAATGGACGGCCAGCCTAAATTTCCGTATGTATACAAAATTCAAACAGAATACGTGTGTCAGCAAGAAATTGAACCGGACAGGGCAAAAAAACTGACCAAAAAGTCAGAGTATTCTACATTTGAATGAAAATAAATTTACCATGCAAAATAAGAAAATATCACGATACGATGAAAAAAGTTGAAAAATCGAAAAAAAGTTGCTAACTTTGAATATCTATATCTCGGGCTTTTTTTCGTATGCAATTCTACCAGCAGCCATTTTAACGGAAATTACCTAAGCTTCATTTTTCATAAAGCAATGCCTATGCTCAAATCAACTCAGAAAAAAGTGCATAGTTTTTGAGTTATAGCGGAAAACCCAAAAAGCTGACCAACTCACCCCGCTCTTAAAAATGAACCCCTTCTGGTAGCACTCCGCGGTTTTTTTGAGGAATTTTGTACTAACTAAAGAATCTGCACGCGCTCGGTCGTTTGCTAGAGCGTGACTAGGCGACGCAAAGAGGGGGGGAGCGCATACATAGGCAAAGGGTACAGGACCGATTGTAGTAAAGTATACAAGTGTAATCTCATAGGTCATGCCTAATGTATCGTTTTGATCCCTTAGGTGAAAAAACGTAGATTATTTGAGAAGAAAAGGCATACAAAATTGCTTTTGAAGAGCTGTGAAAAGCGAAGAGCGATATAGAAACTGTCATAAAAAGTAGTTTTTTCCCAATTTCTATCACACATTACATTTTTTTCGGGGGGTTGCAGGGAGGAAGTGGGGGTACAATATAGGAATTTTTGAATAGAAACCCTACATGAAACCCTACTCTGAAAATTTGAACACGCTTGCATTAGCCGTTCAGATAATATAAAGGTGTGCTTTTTAGGGGATGAAACCCCGTATTTTAAAAATGCGCAATAGCCCATTTATAAAAAATATACCAAAAATCAGTCATACATCTGTGATAAATAGCCGCAGGTTTTCAGTTCGCATTTGTATTGATGGAAAAAAAATTGTTTTGCAGAAGCATGTTTTTTCAAAAGTAGTCAACTTTGGGATGCCACCCCCGCTATAGGATAGGTGATGGACCCATGCTGTCGCTGAAGAAATTGTAGGGAATATAGTCCTCCATAATTTACCATAAACGTTTTTTTTTGTGTACAACGCACTGGAAGAGATACATTTGCAAAAAAACAAAAACTACCCCCTTTAGGGGCCGTAAACGGGGTGATCCCGGTGAATTTCTTTTGGAAATATGCCGGATTCGTAATCACCACCCCAAAATCTATCGAAAAAAAAATAAAACCCGACTACCATCGATTTTGTTTAGTAACACCTTCGTTTCCTGACCTATATCTAATTGTTGCATACACGTAACATTTTTCCAAAAGTTATTAGAAAAGTTTTTAAATCAGGACAGCATTTTATTATTTAAGTGAATATCTCGATATCAATAATATGGATGCTTGTATTAATACTAGTTTGTGTGTGAAGGTGCTAGAATTTTTGTTGTGAAATATGTTATTGTTTTTCGTCAATGTGGAATGCTAGAGTATTTTATTGGGTAATTATTATGATTTAATTTGTGATGAAGGTCGAATGATTCGAGACACGTTTAGCGCATAAAAAATGTTATCATTATTAAGATTGCCAAATGCATTTTACGAGGGCATATTGGAACCTGATTCTATATTTATATGCATTTATGTTACTGGGTACTTGTAGTTTTTGAAATATGGGATGTTTTAAATTACCGCGAAATTTTTGGAAAATAATTAGTTCTTGGGGGTGATTGAAAATATTCTCTACTTTTAAAATGTAATATCCATGATTTTGATCAGAGTTCTCAATCATCTCTATTTCCATTCACCCACATTGACTATAGGTCATTATAAGTATTAACTGATTGATACCTGGTTAGTCGTTCGATTCCACGAATACAATTAGGTGACGGAAGCTGTAAAGCTATATGCTCTAACTGATCACAAAAAATTTAAAAAAATGTGCCAAAAGTTCAGGGTCTCTGGATAAAATGTACCAGATCGTCCTATTTCTCAACTACAAACTGAATTATTTCTAAATCAAATCAAACTTACCTCTCCTCCCTTCATATCGCCATATGGAGAAGCTCCGAACGAATACATTTCCCATATGGTTATACCAAAGCTCCAAACGTCACTTTTGTGATCAAAATGTCCAACCTTGCATGACTCCGGCGCATACCATTTTAGAGGCCATCTGCCCCCACGCAATGAACTAATAATAGTAAAAAAAAATAAATTGCCTATAAAACTATGTACAGTGACGTTATTTATTGTACTTCTTCCCTTGTAATTTCTGAACTGCAAAAATTTGCAAACTTTGTTCTCTAAACATGGATCTGACTAACAAGAGGCCGTTTGGTACGTGGAAAAAAATGAAGAAAAGCGTCTTTCATTTCTAAAGTGAAAATAATAACTGCCTTTAAAGGGTCCTCTTACCCTCCAAGTTTGAAGGTGCTATAATTTGGCCTCATTTCAAAGCCTACCGAATTTACTAATTGCGAACTGAAACTCAATTTTCTGCTGATTTCATTTCAGTCAGCCTGTGCAGCCCACTTTTGCAGTAAGACAGGTTTCTTTCTGCTAATGTCGTTTCTGAAATAATTGCTTTGGTTTCGGAAGAGAAGGTTTCAGCAGAATTCAGTGTCAGTGCTGCTCAGCGGACTTTGCATGTTTAGAAATGTGGTAAAGTAAGTGTTGTTATACCTACTTGCCGCTTCTCGAGCGTGATAGGACATTTCCTTGCGAGTGCGCATATCCATAAAAAAAAAAAAAAATACTAAAAGAGGTGGTAACTTCTATGTTGTTTTAGGCTAGACTGGTTTTAATTTTTTGGCACTTCAATTCTATTTAGAAATACAAATTCTAAATTTCGCACATCATGTCGTAGTTCTTATATTAGCAATATCAATTTAATTACCAAAGAAAAATCGTCCAAAGAAAGTAGAACCAACCTACTAGTGGTGGGCCATATACTATAAAAAGCCAGCAATCTTTCGACATCAGTAAAATGTGTTTATTTTGAAAAAGAGCAGCGTTACATATCCAAGTAAAAAAAAGGGGTTTTACAAAACTAATTGAACTATTGAAGAGGCTTGTCAAAATTATGAAAAAAAAATGTCTTATTTGAAACATGTTCTATTTTATTCGGGTGAATAATACTGAATTATTGAGACTAAGAGTAATCCGATCCAATTTTTCGAGAAAACACGCTGTTCAGGAATTAGGAAGCAATTAAGAGGGGCCCTGTATGTCCATTTTGTGCCAAACTTACCTATAATACTCCTTATCAGTTGACAATGCTCTGGAAAGGCCAAAATCACTTATTTTGGCTTGATATTTTGTCGATAATAGAATATTTCTCGCAGCTAAATCTCTATGGACAAATCTATTTTCTTCAAGATAATGCATTCCTTTAAAAATAGAAAAAGAATAATCGATATTACTTACATCTTCAAAACATTCATAAATAGATGTACGGGGTTGGGGTTATTCACTATGTTTTGACCCCCCACCTGCAGCCTTTACCTTTACAGGTAGATAATTGGTGTACAAACAAAAGTTGTGCAGCTTTAGCTAAATTTTTAGAATCCATCGTCAGAAACAAAAAATTATTATGCATTCGTTTTTTCTTTATCCAGAAAAAATATTTTCTTTTACATGAAATTGTTTATTCAAAAATAAAAAACAGTCTAGGCCAGAACACAAATCTAATTGGTGCTACATTAGGAATAAATAAATTTCTCTTCGAACATTAAATAATAGGTACATTCATTATTGCTCGATATTAAACTGATTAATGATACGAATTCTGCACACCCCGTGGATTCTAAACCGGAATCCACGGCCTATCGACCAATCAAATTCTCCGTATCTTCAGAATACACGGGCCGCAACGAGACAATACAAACATAACATGACTGACGTCTACTGTCAGATCACGAAACTTTCGTTTTAAAATAATTGACTTTTGAAAGTTGTTATTTCTTACAAAAACTAATGATTTTCTTTTGAAAAGTTTGAAGAGAAAGTATAGTCTTCTACTCGCAAATAATGGCTATTATTCACTCGAATGATTCCAACACTCGCCTTCGGCTCGTGTTTGAATTTTCATTCTCGTGAACATTAGCCATCATTATATTATGCCATGATACTAGAACACACAAGATAAGATCACGCGCATGTTTATGTTCTGTCTCTCTCCCTCCGCTGACATCATCCCGTGATAAATTCGGTCTGATTAATGGCGTCTTGGCGTGTTTTTGTTCGTTTTTAATCGTTTTATCTGTATATTAGTATTTTTCTTACGTGAAAATCTCCTTGTTAAAATTGTATTCTGTTCATTTGTGTTTGAGTCTCTTTAATAAATAGTTATAGCATAAACATAAACCATGGTTTACTGTGCGGTCGTGGATTGTAGCAGGTAGCAGAAACAATAATAAAAAAAAAGTAAAAACATGCCTAGTTATAGATATAATTGTGATATATGGGTGCAATCGGAAGCTGGACTTCAGTATCAAAAATTAAATCTCCGAAAGCTGAAACATCTAAACAGAAAACAGAAAGACTATGACAAAACAAATAATGAAAGGGATTTGGTCAAAAATATACATAAAAAGTATGTAGTAGCCATGTGTGGTGTAATGATGTTCCAATTTTCCTTTATTATAGTTGTCTACTTTTAACATATTATTTAGCTGTGACATTTTGCACATTTTTGTTAAATTCTACCTGTGGGGATTGGAATTTGTACGTGCTTCAGCCAGACTATGGTTACAAATATTTATTAAGCATCAGAAATTGTTTTGAAGAAATGTAAAAAAAGTGTTATTAATATTTATGATAAGTAGAAGTAGAAATTTGTATCCAAAACTAATATATTTATGTATATTTGTAATTTATTCAATTCAATGATAATTTTTTTTTCTAAATAGCTATTTTATGTGAAATAAATTATACACTATACGCTGGATCGTGTTTTATTTTGTATATCTGAATTATTATCACGAGAAATTCTGATTTACCAGTCAAATCATAACGAACAAGCTAATTTCTCTATTATCTCCATACATTTTTGTCACGCGATGACGTCATGCGCGAACTGGTTCAAATTTCGTCCACCAAATGATCATATCTTCTGTGTTTTAGTATCATGATATTATGCTTGTTGAAGAATATACTATTCTTTTTAATAATAATTCCAAAATAAACAATGTGTGTATTATTTGTTATAATAAAATGCTTTAAATTATCTCAACACGTAAATATAAGATTAAAATATGGTTATAAAATACTGGCTAGACTAGAAATGTAAATAATGTAATATAAACTTCGAATCTTACCACAGGCGATTTGGGCAGCCCAAATTTGAAATTCAAAATTAGGGTTAATTTCATTTGGGTGCATGTCAATATATTGTAATATTGAGCCCAAAGGAACTAATTCTTGAATCATCTGCAACGGCGGCCCAATACAAATTCCTAGGAGCTTCACTATACAGTGATGATTTAAATTTATCATAACCTTGGCTTCTTTTCGGAAATTTTCTCTGCTACTTTCTAATTGTTCGTTTCTGAGAGTTTTTATGGCAACTTTCACTTCTTCGCCATTTCTATCCACTAGAGCTCCTGAGGAATAAATATAGTTTATGTTATTAAACCAACATATAGCACAATAAATTAGGCGTGCAAATTTTGGAAAATGATTTACTGAATCTGAAACTATTTTCCACTGATCAAATTAGAAGTTGACAAATGTGTATTTAAACAAAATTCTATCATAACACTTATTTGTGATAATTGACCTAGAATAATAGAAAAAATACCTTCAAAAACGGAAGCAAATTCGCCTTCACCAATTAAAGTTCCCATTTTCAGTCTATCAGGTTCAATTAAATTATCCTCCTTACTTTCAAGATTATTATCATAAAGACCAACTAAATTTAAGTCAACTTTAAATGCTATATTTTGGGATATATTGGAACTTGGAGCATCATTTCTGAACGTTTCAGTTGGCATGGGCACTCTTAATTTGGGTTTAACAGTCTTCTGTTTCTTCAATGTTGATATCTAAAATTACTAGACTCATACATTATACATTGTATTTAAAATGAACTTACAGGAGGCGCATCTGGTTTTGGAGGAGGTGGTATTGGGAAAGTTAAAACTGTAGGCAATCCATCACATATTGTACTATAATATTCTACTAAATGCTCTAGCGAGTTTAATAAAGGTCCATCATCAATGACCAAGAAGTCTCCCTGAAAAATAGAAAAAAGATATTAAAGTACTTACATTATCTTTTTTTCCATGTAACAGTTAATACAGAAGTTAATAAAATGAATGTATTTAATAACGGGATTTCTATTCAATTAAAAACTTTTTGGCATTTTTTCAATTCAACTGTCATGATATATTAAAATTCAAATGCCAACAAGGATTGCAATGGATTTAAAATATTTTGTTCTTTGAGTACAAGAACTGCATGGATAGTACAATAAAATTTTAAAAGTCATGCAAAAATCCTGAATTTCAAAAATTGAATTATTTGAAAATGATTGAAAGAAAGATTTAAACAAATCTAAAACAAATAACTCACTTGTTGCTTTATTAAAAAACGCCAAATTTTTTCATGATATAACGTTAAAATATCCAATCCATTTCGGTCACTATATCTCACAAGAAACACTCCGCTTATAGGATTGTATTGTTTTATTTTTTCTTCGGCTTCTTGCCTATCTAATGTCCCATGATAGAACTCGTTCCGTGTAACTTTTGGAGTAGGAACCTCATACGATTCTGGTGAAAATAAAAAGTTCATGTAGGTACACTATAGGTGTCAAAAGTTGACCCTATGCTTATTTCCAGGGGCCCGATTCTCGTCTCAGGGAGAGGAGAGCTCCCCGAGAGAACAAATTTTTCGCCTTTATCATTCTCGTTCACTTTTCGATTACGTTGACGAGAACAAAAAAATCGTTCTCTCGGGGAGCTCTCTTCTCCCTGAGACGAGAATCGGGCCCCTGACCCATTTAGATATCCTTTTCAAAATACTACTTCTTGACATGCAAAATTTCGAGAATTGCGAAAACTTTCAATGTGACATTGTATGTTCAATTACACTTATACTCATCATTAACCTACCTAAAAATTCTGCACATTCAGTATGGCCCTTTATCCTAGCAATTTGTGCGGGAACCAATCCCTTTTTGGTTCTGGGATAAAGTGGAGCACTTAAACTTAACAATTCTTTTACTACATCAAGGTGTCCTTCACTGGCCGCTACATGCAAAGGAACCTCATTATTATCAGTATTACGAGCTTGAATATTGGCTTTTCCTAGTGTTATTAGTAATCTTACAGTATCTGGCTTGTTATATTTGCAGGCATACTGAAATTGAAGACACTTTCAATATTGGGTTCATTAATTCGATTTTGCTAAAAATATAAGAGCAAATTGAAATAACAAAAAATTAAATCACGTCTGGGTTGAACAGCTAGGATTCATGTTTGTAGCACTAAGTGCCATTTGGCACAATCACCATGGGTATAAATGTTGCCAGTTTATTAATATTTTTCAAATGTATATCCTATTCCTAGGTGACAATAAAATCGTTTTTCACGCCGCCATATTATTATGAAATTGGGTAGCAGAATGGAGTTAATTGTTTCCTTAAATTTAATATGGAAGAGCCAGAATTTGAAATAACCAATTCAACTTTCATTGGAGAAAACATTACATGAAATGGGTTTTTTAACAAACTATTAAAAATATTTTACATAGCTGAAAGAGCCTTTGTTTGTGGTTTGCCAAATGCCTAACTACGAAAAAAGTGGCAGGTTGTAAAACGTTGCCACAGTAGGACTTTTCGGAAACGGTAATCCAGTTAACCCGATCACCAGCTGTTTGTTTTTTATCTTGAAAAAAGACAAAGTACATCAGCTGGTGATCCGGTTCCGGTTGATTGGATCAGCGTTTACGAAAAGACCTACTAAACTATTTGAATTTTTTTTTATGTTCAAGTGGAGAAATAACAGAAAACTCTTTACGATTCACAGATTTTTAAATGAAAGGTAAGTGTAGGACGGTTAGCCATTCCCGATGTTATTTGTCACTTGTTGTGTCATACGTCAATTGTAAGACAGTCTACAGTCTTGTCCTCTTTTAGCGGTGTAGTAAACAACACATGTATCCGATTTATAAAAGATAGTTTGATTGTTAAATTAAATCAATCATAATTAACATAGCGCAGCTGTGAGTCGAATGATGTCTTGTCAGTTGAAATTTAAAATCAAGGGAAATAAAAGTAAACCTGAATATGAGAGATAAATAGCAGAGGTGTGGCCCGAGGGGGTTAACCACTCTCCGCAATCTTGTCACAAAATCGCCTGCAATCGGAAATCCTGTTGCCACCGCACCGTAATCCATAACCCCTTGGCCGCAATCCTTGCAATGCCGCCGCAATCCATGCAATCCCATCTCAATCCATGCAATCCCATCGCAATCACTACAAAATTTACGAGATTCGGGCGCAAAATACACAATTGGATGTTTTAGATAACATTGATTGTTTTTGTGGATTCATTAATGGAAATTAGTTAAGCTTTTAATTAAATCAAATCAAACCCAGGGACACGATTCCTCCTAGGTGTTAGAGGAGCAGAGGGAGTTTAAATGCACAAAACAAAGACGGCTACAGCCAGCTTCTCCCTTCGGTGTTGCCAATTATCCTAATTCAGGAAAAATAATTGGCAACGCCAAAACGATTTTTGTCTTTGTTCCAAGCATTTGAAATCGCTTGCACTTTTTCATACCCCTAGAAAGTATCCTATAATAGATTTGATCTTGATCAACCAACCTTTATATTTTCTTTATTTTAAATTATTAGATTTTTGCTGTTTTCGAATTGTCTCAAAATAGATACATAATACTACTATGTATTTTTAAACACCTAAATATCCATAAATATTAAGTTTTAAATTTTGTGTAGTTTTTTTCATTCAAAACCCATGCAAAGTAGACTTAGGGTACACGTTTAACCCCGCGTTTAACCAAAATTTGAGCTAATAGTCATACAGATCCTCTTGTAGACGTATGTTTGGTTCAAAGTTTCAAAAAGTGCTTCATTTTGGCCCGAGTTTTGGCCTTTTCTTTTGAAATATCTGGAAAACATGTCCAAAATTGCCTTAAAAACCATAAGATGGTTAAATTTTTTCCCAGATTTTTCCTAAAACGGATAACTGGCCAGATTGCGTTTTTATCAGTCAAATTGCATACCTGACAGTTTATCAGAAGGTGAATAAACCAGCCCTCAATCATTTATTTCTAGGTATGATTTTACATTCGCTCCCTTACAAATGCATTAGGCCAGAACTTCCAAAATAGAGATTTATGAAGAAATTGTTAATTTTGGAACATGGGTAAACTTCAGTTACTGATGACCCGCAATTCACTTCCGAAGAGTTCATAAATTTTAGTTGTGAGTGAGAATTTGAACATATTGTGTCTTCGCCTACATATGCTCAATCTTATAGCCGAAATGCAAGTTCGGACCATGGAAGACATATTCATTGCTCTTCTGCATTATAGGTCAACTCCTGTATTTGGAAAAATATCGCCTGCTGAAATTATTGTGTCAAGAAAACTAAGAACAAATCTAATGGGTACAAAACATCAGTCAAAGCCGAAAATTGCTAAAAATAATAATAAAAATATAAGTTAAGAAAGACAACAACGATAAAGATTCAGCTATATAGAGACTAACATAGGCTTAATATACCTTAATCATTAATCCCTAAAAATTGTACCCACAAATTTAATTGTCAGTCAATAAGATTTCCAAGTTATTAATCAGAATGTGTATCTACAAGTTGAACCTAAAGAAAATTTGTTATCCGGGTTTTAAAGATATAGTGGAATAAAATCACTGCTCTAACTCGCTGTTTTCTGAGGGTGGGTGATTCCGAGGTATAACCAGATGAAACCTATATCATCTTGTAGAGGACACTTTGGGGCATAGGAAATGGGAATGTACAACTTTTTTTAATAGGACTCAACTTTGAAATCGGCCCTTAAACGTGACTGAGCTCGAATTTGAAAAATTATGTTTTTCTAAACATTACCCGCTGTATTAATTTAAGCATACAATCTAAAATTCTGATTTTTTGCACACTTATACTTGAAACATGAGCGCTTCTAATGACAGTTCAGAAATTTCGAAAAGGCTCAAGGTTTTTTTGTTAAAAAGTTAGGAATATAGAATTATCAAAATCGTGCATCTTAAACTTCACCCTGCGGCGAGCAATATGTATTATTGAAAATTTCTATACATATAGGTATATCGAATCAAATGTAGTAAAGACATTGAAGTTTTTAAAAAAAAAAATTAAGGTGCTAACTTTAACGGTTATAGAAATATAAATTTTTATCCAAGAGCCCTGGAGTGCGCTCAGCCACAGCCCTCTACACTTACAAGCCATGAAGTTAAAAAGGCAACACCGCAATCTTACCGCCAAGTGGTGCTGTTTTATTTAACCTCAATTCCGCGTATGGTTTATTTACTTTTATTGATGATATGAATTCTTATCTCAACTACATAAAAAAGTAGTTTTCTTTGAAAAAATATTAGTAGTTAGTAAAATTATTGTAATATTACCAATATTTTGTACATATTAATCACACAAAATGCATCATATTGTACTAAAAAGTAAAAACAGTAATTCAATGAATAATATAAATATTTGTGTAAATAAGAACAGTAAATAATTGATTTAAATAAATATATTACTAGATTCTAAAGTGTTATAATCCTATATCTATTTTATATGTACAAGGTCTTGTCAAACAATTCTATACAACTAGCAACTACCTATCATGTTAAAAAAATAAATACTTTCTAAGAATTCGGGAAAGCTACCCTTAAAACATACCTCTATTATTATTTTTAGTACCTAGGTACATTTTTTTTCTATTTCAAAGTGGTTAGTTTTCTTTTTTTACTTGAATCTGTTTTATTTTTATGACATTCACTATTTTTAAATTTTGTGTAGTTGTTTAAAATAATATTACTCATTATCAAAGAAGCAAAGGAGTAAATTTTTTTTGAGTTAGCACCACATTCACAAATTTTGTTCAAATCAATATTAAAGGTATCGGACTCTAAAGCTAATAAAGTAAGCTGCGATAATAAATTATGATGATCATTTGTTTTCAGGAACATACTTTCAAGATCTTTGTTATTAATTATATACTCGAAGATAGCACAAAGATGAAAATAAATAAACTTGGTTTCTTGAGTGGCAATACAGAGACCCCCTCTCTGCAGGGAATTAAAATATGTATGATCCGTCTGGATGCCTTTTGCTAGAACTACTAAACTTTGACATTTATCACATTTATTATTCTTCAAAACTGATCGAGCCACGTATCCACAGATGTATTCCTGCACAGAGTCATCAAAATTACTGTACAATTTTAAAAAATCACTATGCAGAACAAATTTGAAATTGTTAATTTCCTGCAAACTTACACACATAACATCAAAATGTTTCGCACACACTACAGAATTTTTTGTTACCGTATAATTATCTCGGTGTATAGCTTTTAGCCATAATTTCTGTAATTCGGAAGTTTTTGGAAATGAAAATGTTGTTTGCAGTTCCTCAGTCTTCAGGGAACTCCTATAGTTGGATTTGCACCTCGGCACACAGCAGTTTCTTGGCATATGGAACAAGTTTAAATATCTTAGATAATAATAATATCGAGACCTATACATGTGCTCTTGCACTTTGCAAAGTGGAAACAAATATTATATTGTTTTTATTTGCTTTTACCTTAACTCACCTTAATTTTTGCTCCTGTACCGATTGCAGTATTTGCTATAAATTCACAATCAAAACACAACTAATAATGGCATAACAGGTATAAACCAAATATAAACAGTAAGTAAACAATATATTGGTGTTTCTAGCCACTTTTTCGTTTGAAAATGCACCTCACTCTAGCAATAAACAATGAAAACAATACACAGAAACATATAACCTCAATAGCAAAAAAGCACCATTGGCGACGTTGCCGTTATTTCCAACTTCATGGCTTGTAAGTGTAGAGGGCTGTGGCTCAGCCCATCGTGAACCGCGTCGCGACGGAATTATTCGTGCATTCACCGAGAGGTGCATTTTCTGACTTTTCCAGTTTTGTGCGTTCGTATGCGAAAAACAGCTAAGTCTGATTTATTATCAAAGTTTGAACCATATTCAACAGTCGCTTCTCTTCGAGCTGATGTTAAAGAAGGGTGTGACTAAAAAAAGCAACTTAAGCAACTTAAATCAAGAAAAAAAATCTAAGATCTCCCGTGGAAACCGCAGTCTTTCATTCAACTTACTATCCGA